AAACCGATATCATCGACGCAGAGATCAAGGGACACCGAGGGACGAAAGCCAATGGAGGAGAAGGTGCGAATGTATTAGATACGCACGAGCGTGGTAACCATGCTGCAAACTGCCACAACTCCTCTAAACGCCCTGAACGGTCCTGCGGCTAAAGCAGACATGTCGATACACCTCATGGCCTTGTGGGTATGTCTCCAAATAGGCTTGCCCTATAGGAGTCCTAGCTCAAACCCTACTAATTGGTCCGCCCCCCCCCCCCCCCCTAATTCCCACCACCACCCCTCCTAATTCCTATGGCTATGCCTATGCTTCTGCCTTTGCCTCCCCCTAACCCCAATGCCTGCGCCTACGCCGATGTTTGCTCGCTTGCGCTTGCTTGCTTGCTTGCGTGCTTGCTTCCTTCCTTGATTGCTGGCTTGTTTGCTTGCCTGCGCGTTTGCACGCACGCTTGATTATTTGCGCGATTGCTTGGTTGCTTGAGCGCTTGCTCGCCCGCGCGCTTGCCTGCACGCTCGCTTGCTTGCTGAGTTAGGGGATTCCAGCCATGCCTGTTTCCTGTGATTCCTTGGTTTGAGTCGTCCAGTATATTCGGGGTCAACGCCGGCTGGCACGACGCAAAATTTCGAGATGGCTAGAGGGCCCTGAGGGTCACGGAACCTACTGGCAAGATCCCCCAGACCAATCATCTCGGAAAACGCATACAGATCCGAAAGAACCGACGCAGCATGCTCGCCACGTCGAACAGCTGTTTTGCCCCAAATGGCCTGCCTCCAGAAAACGTCCGAAGCGCTCTTGACCCACAACCCCGGAGATGGACCTGAGGTCGCCGACCCCCACGGACAGGGCATAGGAGCGACGCATTTTACCCCGGAGACGGCACGGGGCCCCGAAGATCCCGATGGGGCGGAGACCCCTCATGGGCTGCTGAAGCATAGCCAGCATCACAAGGCGGACCTGGAGTGGCAACGAGGATGACACCTCACAACCAGCCTCCCAAGGCCCCGTCGCACAGGCTGCCAAAGTGACGCACGCGGAATCCAATCCGTCAACCGAAACCGCAAATTTCCAGCGAACACCCACGGCTGGCAGATCTCAACTAGCCGGGGGGAATCCTGGGCAAGGGCCCCAGGGGGGCGAAATCACAAGCAACGTCACAATCCTCGACCAATGAATCCGCCAAGCAGAGCTCTGAAAAACTGCGACTCGCCGCCTCAAGCAACGCAAGGGGTCGGCCACCTCCTGGCCCCGAGCGGAAAGGGTTGAGGAACCCAAGCTTCCACAGGCCTGGCCCACAGGTGCGCCGAGCGAGCCCCGTGGCCCAGGTCCTTGTGGAGCCACTGCTTCCAAGGCCATTTCACCCCTCCTGGCGAGCACGGAGGGTAGCCGACTCCAGCTGGGCGCTGAGATTACCGAGCAACATGTCAGCCTGCTCCACAGACAGATCTTTTTTTTTAACGGCCGCAGGCGGAAGCGCCAGCGGCGGGCGGTCACGGTCGGGCTGCGGCCGCGACAAGCGGAGCGGGCGCGCGCGGGGCCGCGGTCAGGCGGCGGGCGGCAGCGACCCAGGGCGTCTGCCAGCGTGCATCCAGGGAGTCTGCGAGGCAGCCCCTGAAGAGACATGCAACGGCGAATCCAGGGAGTCTGACAAAAGGCACCGCGGAGGCCGAACGCAGCCAAAATGGCGCGAGGTTCCCAACAGATCGAGCGACCAAGTGGGAATCGAATTCGAGCGGGACGTCAATCCAGGGAGTCTGACGGGTAGGCACAAACTGACTGGAGACAAAGCCCAGCAGGAAAGCACAGACAGCGGTGGCGTAACCAAGAACGTCTGAACCAAGCGAGCAGTCCAGGGAGTCTGCAGGGAGCCCCAGAAAGCACCGCGCATCCAGGGAGTCTGAACACAGGCACCGAGGAAGCAGAGCGCAGCCAAAATAGCGCGCAAGGCGTTCCCAACAGTTCGAGTACGAACGGGTAGGAAACGGTCCCGAGCGAGACGTCAATCCAGGGAGTCTGACGGGTAGCACAGACTGACTGGTGACACAGTCCAGCGGGGATACCCTGACGGCGGAGGCGGACCATCGCGACGTCAGAACACGCATCCAGGGTGTGGAAACAGAGTAGCCAGAGAAAGAACCTTCCACAACTGACATGCGCCTGAGCCCTTGGACCAGCGACTGGTAAGAGCACAGCAACGTGCACAAAGCCACACGGTAGAAACACGTGATAGCTGAAAGTGCACCACCAAAGTGACTCAGCGCCACACATACGCGTGTAGGGTAGCACCCGAGGGACGGGACCATCGTATACCCAAAACGCGTCCCTCAGAGTCACTTCGTTCCACCACAGACAGATCAGCAGAACTGGGAAAATCTTGGACATCAAGAAGTTGACCATGAGAACCTGCACTGAAGTGATCCTGGGAAAATCGACTGGGATGTAATATGGTTGATGACCATGCGCGGCGGTTGGTCCCCACCGCCGTCGGGCCCCCGCTTGCAAGCCCCCCCCAGGGGTGGCCTCTGGCCTGGGGCGGCATCCGATTGGGCTGCCGCGGCACCACGACCCATGTTCACCTGCCACCGCCGAGGAACTCAGAGTAGCAACCCTAGACGGTGGCCACTTGGCCCGGTGCCAAGCTCGAATGGCGCGGCAAAGCAATCGAACAAAATACAATTGCGGGCGCCCGCAGGGACGACGGCCGCGCTCGCGGATGTCGACCCACCAAGATTTGGGGACCTCGCCTCGACATCCGAACTCGGGGAAGACACACTGGAGAGCAGCCGAGAGTTCGCGCTCAGACTTATCAGCCCCTGCCTGGTGCAACCTGGCAAGCGCAACCCCCTTGTCCTTGGACCCGGAGCAAGCAACCCCGAACACCTCTTCGGCCAGCCGCTCCTCGCCCTCCCAAGAGGGGGGGGGGGCAATGAAGGGGCCCAATCGGGACAGCGGGCGGCAGAGGAGGCGACTTGCGAAATGCCAGCACCTTAAGCTCATAGAGTTGCGGGTGGAACTTCAAAGCAACACCCGGGCGAGGAGGGGGGGGGCGCCACGATCCACCCCCACCGACTGAACAGCTTTAGAAAGACCTCTGGAAGCGATCAGGTAGTCAAAACATATTCGAGCCAGCACCCGACGTTGACGTACACGTGGGAACTCCTGAGGAGAGAAGTCGGGCTTCTGACTCCTCCTCGAAATTAGATTGACCCAAGACCTGAGGTTCCATATTCAGGCCACAACCGAAAACACAGCCACCGAGGGCGGAGGACACAAAGCCTCCCACCTTGACGAGGATAAACTGGTTGTGGTCCGACAGGCCCTGGCAACCATGCAAGTAGCAACTGACGACACAAAAGGGATATTGGCCTCCGGGTTTCACGAAGGCTCCGATAACACAATGAGCGACAAGCTCTGGGCCTCCAGGAGGCGCAACGAGACCAGCGAAGCGACTGCACACAACCGCGACCCCTGCAAAGGTATCCGTCCAAGAAGTAACCGTAGCTGGCAGCATGGGGGCCTTCCAACCGTGCCGTAGCGCCCACTGCTGATGGCCAGGGATCCGATCCGCAGCCAAATGGTACTCCTGACCTGAAGAAGGACCACGCGGGCAGAAGTGGCAAGAAGCCAATCTTGGCCGAGCTCCAGGCCGCGCAGTTGCACGTAGCAATCTCAAGCGCAAGAGGGGAGATGTCAGGCGTGCCAGCTGACTCAAAAAATGCTTCTTATCGTCTTCAATTCCGAACGAAGGGCGGCGGCGGGGGAAGCCGACAGGCTAAAACACAGAGCACTCCAACAGGGAACGGCCCCGCGGCGACTGCTCGAGTGGCCAACCTTGTCGGCAAGCAGATAACGCAAAAACTGTGGCAAATCGTGCCGGGAGGACTGCAACATGCGACACGCGATCACAGGCTCACGCACAGCGGCCTGACCTGGATCTGAATGAGGTGGTGGCTACTGGCTGACGATGTAGTGTCCCCATCTCGGCCGACGAAGGATCACGCCGTAGGGCCGCAAGGGGGGGCTGCCCTGTTCGGAAGCTTCTCCGTGGCGGCAAGGACCTTGGCAGCACGAGCTCGGAGGGGAGGGGAGGGGAGGGGAGGCAAGTTAGGTGCGCTCGCGTCAACATCTGACATCCTACCCCTCCCTCCCATCCCTTACCATGGCGCTGATTTTCTCTATCCGCGGACGCGTGTCGTAGCGGACCTGTGGCTCCGCGCGCGTGTGCGTAGTGGGTGGTGGTGCGCGTGCGTGCGTGCGTGTGTGCGTGGTTGTGGTTGTTGTGGTGGTGGTGTGTATGTGTGTGTGCGTGTGTGCGCGTGTGCTGTGGTGTGACGTGGTGTGGCGTCTTGGTGGTTTGGTGGTGGGCCAGGTGCGTACGTGCGTGATGGCGGTGGTGGTGGTGGCGGTGGTGTGTGTGTGTGTGTGTGTGTGTGTGTGTGTGCGTGTGTGTGTGTGTGTGTGTGTGCGTGCGTGCGTGTGTGTCTGTGTGTGCGCGCGTGTGATGTGGTGTGACGCGGTGTAGCGTGGTGGTGGTGGGTGGGGTAGTGCGGTGGTGGTGGCGGTGCGCGGTGGTGGTGCGCGTGCGTGCGTGCGTGCGTTGGTGGGTGGAAGTGGCGGTGGGTGTGCGTGCGGCGGGGCGGGGCGTGGTGCGGCGCGGTGGTGGCGGGCGGATGGGCGCGCGAGAAAGAGGCCCGCGCTGGGGCGAGAACGCCATCCTGAACGACGGAGGCAAAACACCGATCCGAAAATGAGGCCCACGCTGCAGCGGGAGCACGATTCGGAACGATTCGGGAGCAGAAATGAGGCCGGCGCCTCAGCGAGAGCAGCATTTGAAAAAAACGCAGGCGAAAACCCAACTCCCGGAAATCCTGTGTGAAAAAAACAGGACGCGGGGGGGGTCGGCTACTCCCAGCACGCCATCAGGGGAAGAGGGAGAGTAGTATTCATATTGAGTAATTGTGGAGGGGAGGGGAGGGGAGGGGAGGGGAGGGGTAGGGGGGGAGGGGGGGGGGAGGGGAGGAGGAGGAGGAGGCGGAGGAGGAGGCCGAGCGTCCTCAAGAGAGAGTCCCTAGATCATTACCCGCCCACTCTAACGACGAGGGACAGACCTGCCTCCAAAAGGGAAATCAACAGCGTGCCGCGCAGCCTCGGCGATCGAGCGAGGGTGAGCGACTCACAGATGCCAGCACGTCCCTGTCCTTTCCCACCCACTCTACGGCGAGGGACAGAGCTGCCTACAGAAGGGAAGTCAACGGCGTGCCGCTCACGCCTTGGCGATCGAACAAGCGATCGAGAGAGGGAACGGCTCACAGATGCCAGCACGCCTCTCCTAGTGGAGGACACGGCCCTTGCACTAAGAGGATAGAGTCGAGCCAAAGCAGCGCACGCTGTGCATGGATCTGGTCTGCCCCTGGGCCCTGACTCTTCGATTCGAATGTTAGATTGTCTTGATTCATCCCCACGCCACAGCACGTCGCCGCACGTCGAAGCAGCGAGAGCAGCACCAAACCATGCTGCTCCACACTTTGAAACCTGTCGGCTGTCTGACGGCTGCAATATCTCCTGACCGAGAGGAGAGGAGGACCAGGAATGAACAGGTCAAGGGAGTGAAGCAGGCGAAGACTCAAGTGATCTGCCCCTGGTTGGAACTGCTGCTCAAGGACAAAACAGATTTTGTATGAAGTTGCTCGAGCGGACAGGACGCCCTAAACATCCGGGGTCGAACTCACTTTTGGATCTCGCGCGACCTCCAACAACTTGAAGCCGCCTCTGAACAGCTGCGCTGCACTAGTCTGTGGCTGTACATCTGTCTTCAGCAGAAGTGGCTGACCTAGTGCACTCCAGTCAGGCTCAGGTTCAGTGTAGCGTGGTGCAGCGGACTGCGAAGCCCGCTGCGCTTCGGAGCTCATGTGACAGTGACCCTGAAAGAAGAGAAGAGAAGAGAAGGGAAGGGAAGAGAAGAGAAGGGGAGGGGAGAGGAGAGGAGAGGAGAGAACAAAAGAGAAGAGGACCGCGGGCCGACCTACCCCTCTCACCGGCGCGGGCAAGCTCCATCCTCTGGCGCACCTCAACAACTGCAGCGGCTCGAATGAGCCCGCGTCGTTGTGGGGTCAGAGAAAATAGCACGCGTTGCCAGCCAGCCGGCGTGTGGTAGGGGCGTGCACTCTGGTCGTCCAGCGTCGTGCGGACACGACTGACATCGAAGTATGGACCACTGTTGCCGTGGATGCCGAAACTGCGTCGTAGGGCGAAGAGAAACGGGGAGCTGAAATAGCTTCGTTTGCAGGGGCACAAAGCACCGCATGGAACACTGAGGTACAGGAATGCTTAGGTCGGGCATGTCCTCCTACAGATTTTGGGAAAAAACTAAGAAAAAAAGTCAAAACATATTCAAACATAGGGAGAAAAAAAACGTCCCCTGACTGTTTTTTGACTATTCTCGACTTTTCCGCCTGGAGAGGGATACGCCCGACCTCAAGGACTGCGAGCAAGACCTCCAGGAGCATTCGAGCTCCTCCTCCTCCTCCTCCTCCTCCTCCTCGTTTTCCTCCTCCTCCTCCTCCTCCTCCTCCTCCTCCTCCTCCTCCTCCTCCTCCTCCTCCTCCTCCTCCTCCTGGTGTGAGCTCGCGGCCAAGCCTGGAGTTCCCGTCAGCGAGACTTTATTGTTTTGTAAGAAGTGCTCCATGTACGCGGCCAGCAGGCCTGCTGGTCTCGGGGGCCCTTGCCCCGCCGAAAATCGCCCTGGGTGGAAGATTTCCGACGCGGCGCTGCACAAACGGAGGCGGTTCTTGAAGGGCCAGCATCCCAAGTGCGGCGAGAGCGCGACGATAATCGCGAGCTGGCCGATTTCGGTGCCTACGTCTGTATAGGCCTGCGCATGGCGCCTCTTGTCGCTCGCTGGTTCCCTTGGGCCCACATCGCACGAGGAGGAAAACCTCCTCCTCCTCCTCCTCCTCCTCCTCCTCCTCCTCCTCCTCCTCCTCCTCCTCCTCCTCTCCTCCTCCTCCCCCCTCCTCCTCCTCCTCCTCCTCCTCCTCCTCCTCCTCCCCTCCCCCTCCCCCTCCTCCTCCTCCTCCTCCTGCTGCGGGCCCAGAGGTGCCCTCGCAGGAGCGCAACCGGGCTGACACCGCGGGCATTTGCAGGCCGGGCGTGCGCGCCGCTGCCGGGCGCGCTGCTGGCTCGCGGGGCGAAGGGCGGGCTCAAAGTGCCTCACGTCGGCAGCGAGCGAGGGGGGGAAAATGACAAGGAGAAGGCCTTCTCAGAAGAAGGGGAAGAAGGGAGGGGGAGGAGGAGGAGGAGGAGGAGGAGGAGGAGGAGGAGGACGACGACGACGACGACGACGAGAAGGAGGAAGAGGAGGAGGACGACGACGACGAGGAGGGACAAGAGGAGGAGGAGGAGGATGCCTCCCGCCGCCGCTGCCGAGGCCAGAGGACGTCTTTTTACGGGGCACGCAATGCCGGACAAAGCTTCAGAGAAGATGCACCGGCACAGATGATTGGGCAGCGGGCGTAGGCTAGCCAGACGGCCAGCTGCACAAACCTGAGTCGAGGGTACAACTAAACGCGCGAGGGTGGGAGGGCTGGGAGCGCAACAATGAAACCTCCAATGGCAATGGAACGCGGCCTCTCATGCTGTGGCGTCTGGCAATCTACAACGAAGTAGTGGGCATGCCTCCCGCCGCCGCTTCCGAGGCCAGAGGACGCCTTTTTACGGGGCACGCAGTGCCCGACAAAGCTTCAGACAAGGTGCACCGGCACAGATGATTGGGCAGCGGGCGGAGGCTAGCCAGACGGCCAGCTGCACAAACCTGAGTCGAGGGTAGAACTAAACGCAAACCTGCCAAACAGTCCTTGGTCATCTCAACAAAACAACTGACATATTCACCGTTAAACAAAAAGACTGGCCAATGAAACCGCCTTGGAACTGCCACGGGCGCGATCGAAACAGCTGGCGAGGCCCTTGCACAGGTCAGGAGGATACTGCTGAGCGGCCTTCGTTTTGAAGCCGCCTCCCTGAGAGAGGCTATGAATTGTTGTGCGCTTTTTTGGTGTGCGAGAGCAGAGCTTGCTATGACACACTCGCGCGATAGACTGCAAAGAGACACGATCCCCTAGAATATTGGTCGGTTTCTTCTATGGCGTCCCCCATTGGCACATGTCTGCATACACGAGCTGGCTAGTTTTCCACGCGGCCGCTTTCTTGAGTCGAGGGAGCAGCCACAGGCGCGAACGAGCAGGATTCTCCAGCGCCGCTGGGCGCTGGAGCAGGTGCATCAACTCAAAAATACTGCAGCAAAAACCGGCAAGAATAATACCAATTCGAACGGCTTGCACATCGGTCGGATGGGTGACCTCAGGAAGCCCCATCAGATGCTGGTCAGATCGGAGCCGCGAAGGGTGAATTGGTCCAGCTTGGCCCAGCTCTCTCAGCGGCCCCGCGTCCCTGGCCCTGGTCCAAATCTGGCACGGCGTCCCCATGAAGACTCCCCAGACTTGTCCGGAGAGGATCCAGCCCCTCACGAGTTTCTGGGCCTTCTTAGCCGAGAGGTCCCAGGCAGGCCCACGACTGATGCCCCTCGAGCACGACGAAGCCCCTGTCGCGCAGCGCCCGCGAGAGCCCGCCGCGCCCGCTGAACAGCTCTAGAAAGACCTGCGGTTGGACCAGGCGGGCACCCCTGCTGGCCAGGGCGCGAGCGAAGGCCTCGCGAGGCAAGTCGGCAGCCGCGCCGCCGCCTCGACCGCCCTCGCGCGGACGCCTGGGGACAGCCGCTGCAGCTGCTCGCCCGCGCGGCCCTCCCTCTGGCAGCGTCTCACGCTGGAGTCGCAGTGCCAGCGGCCTCTCAGCTTGATTTCCTGCAGCGTCCGCAGCTGACGCGCTCGATCGTGACTGGGCCCACTGTGCCTCAGCATATAATATACAGCTCCAGGCCCAGCGACTGGACCCCCGCGCGCCCGGCCGCCCCTCGGAACTGGACCTCCATGTCATGTCGACGTGCCGAAGGCGAACAGCGGCTGCCTGGCCGGCGTCACCCGCTTGAGGTAGGCGAGCATGGGCGTCACCCGCTTGAGGCAGGTCCAAATCCACGGTCTCGTCGAACTCCCTTGTCTTGCTGCTGATCTCCTCCTCGCTCGGGCGCAGCACGATCGCCCAGTTCACCGCGTGGGTGCCCGGCACTGGCGGCACGAGCATCTCGGCGGTGACCCGCCGCAGCTCGCTGGGGCGCAGGCAGCAGTGGAAGGCGACGATCGTCCATGCCGCCATCGCCCGGAAGCCGGTCAGCAGCAGCTCCAGCGCGATCAGCGCGACGACCTCCCACGGCAGCGGCAGCCGTGCCCGCCCGGGGGCGAGCCGCTTCCAGCCCTTCAAGGCCTGCGCCGAGCGCGGAAGGGAAAGCCCCCCCGACTTGGCGAACTGCGGCTGAAAGTACTTCACCGCCGCCAGCCCCTTGGTGCCCCTCTGCGCCAGCTCCCCGAACGAGCACTCCTGGCCCATCCAGCCGGCGACCACGAAGTGCGTCTCGTCGTCGCCCGGCTCCGCCTACAGGGAGCCCAGCGGCCGCAGCCGCAGCCACATGCGAAGGATGTCCTGCCACAGACCGTCGCTCTGGGCCACGGTCTCCGGAGTCACCGACGCCCGCCGCAGCAACGAGCCATGGCCTCTGACCCCCGCCCAGCAGGCAGCGGCCGCAGCGGCCCCCCGCCCGCGCCTCGCAGCTCGCGCCATCTTGCGGCCCCTGGCCGCGGGAGGTGGCGGCGCTCGCTGCTCCTGGCGCGACTGGGCCGCGGTAGCACTCACGCGCCGCCCCCTCCGAGGCCGCGGCAGCTCGCCCAGGGGGCCGCCTCGCCGCGGGGCGCGCGGCCCAGCGGGCGCCCCGCAGAGCGCCGACAGCAGGCTCGCGGACGGCCAGCTCGGCGAGCTCGAGGTCGGCGCTGCGGCAGTCGGCCTGCTGGCTGCTGCGCCTGCCGTCCCGGACGGCCCACTGTCCGACGCTCTCGGCAGTGTCCGCCGCGGCGCCGTCGATCCAAACCCCAAGGCAGATGCGACGGCGCGACGGCGCATCGGCGACGTTCCGCCCAGACGGAACCAGGCACCGAGGCCTGCACCGCGCCCGCCAGACACCAGGCGGCCCATTGCCGGGCGACGCGGAGGACCCCACCGCGGCCCTTCTCCATAGCACACACGAGCCCCATGTTATCGCAGAAGAAGAGGGTACGCTAACCGAAGGACTTCCAGTCGCGAAGTGCGCGCCGAGGCGAACGAACGAGTGCCCGACCGTCGAGGACAATGATCTTCTCGGACAGGGCCCACCCTCCGCTCGAAACGACCTGCCACTCCCCCCGCACAGCCCCTCCTCCACCTCTGGGACCCTCCACAAGCTACAATCTGAACCCTCCACCTCCGCCTCCGGCGACGCGACGGGCTCCACCTCCAGCGACACGACGGGCTCGGCGATCGGTTCGACCTTCGCGATGTCGGCGGTCGGCGGGTCGCTCTGCTCGAGGAGGCAGTCGCGAGGTCGCGATCCAACTGCTCGTCGAAATCGCCACCTCCCCCCGTACCTCCCAGCACCGCGGATCGTGGCCAGGTCGGCCTCCTTCTGACGCACGCCCCCCCCCCCCTCGCTAGCGTCGCTCGCGTAGACCCTGGGGGGCCAGGCGGCCCGGAGATCAGCCCAAGCCAGGGGTATCAGGGAGGCGGCCCAACGGAGTTCCCGGCGGACAGATGGCGGCAGCATCATCACCCGATCGAAATACTTCCTGAAAAAAAGAATACACATAACTGAACACGGCCAAGAGCGGCCGCCTCGACATAGCAATGAACGCGAAGCGACCAGCAGTCTCCCCCACTTGTCGCCCCGAGGCGTGACCACGCGCAAGCAAGCCCTGGATCCCAAGACGAAGCCTCCAAGCACGGCGACACTTCGGCCTCACAGCACCGCGCCCCCCGTCGAAGACCCAACCCAACTGCTCAGACACAGATGCGGGGAGCTCAGGATCGCGAAGAGGGAGCCCCGCACCACTCAGAGCCTCTTGGGCGGACTTCAGGGGGACCGCAGACCTGTCAGGATCCACGCCAAAAGAAATGAAGTTGTCAACATAGGCAGTATAGACCCCGTCCTGGATGGGAGGCGTCGGCAGGCCGTCGACCAACTCGGGAACGTGCTCAAGCCCCCACTTCTGGACCAGTATATTCCTGTGCACTTGCTGGCAGAAGTCGAGCGCATGCGTCCAGCCCATAGGCAAGACGGCCAAGCACGGGCGCGCCCAGGCGCGGCCTGGAACGGGGCGCCCGCCCAGCTCACTCACTCCGAGCTGGGACGCCCGAAGCCGCGGGAGCGCGAAGAGGTAGGTGCCGGAGCTCCGGCGGCAGGCCCACGTTGCAGCAGGCGTCCGCTATGTTGACTTTAGCCGTCCACGGCACCTCGCCCGGCGCCAGCTCGATGGAACTGAAGCCCCCCCCGGACGCCAGGCTCGTCTTGTCGGGCCCCGCGAACCTGAATTTGCTGCCCCTGCAATCGATCACCAGGCGCTGGCGACCGTCCTTCTTCCAAACGGTGAATAGGCCGACTTCCTCAAAATCGCCCGCGTCGAGCCTGAACTCCAGCATGCCACCGCCCCTCGCCCTCTCGACGAAGGCCAGGTAAGCCGCGGGCTGCCGCAGCACTGGATCCAGGCAAGGGCGTGCGAAGCCAGCCTCCTGCTTAAAAATCTCGGCGCTTTGAATTGGCAACACCATCGAAGTGGTGAACCTTCGCACGATGTCTGGACCGCCGCCCCCCAACAACTGACTCAGGGGCACTGGCGCACCGCCCACCGCAGGTAGAGAAACGAAGTCGTGCGCGAAGGGGGCCACCGCGACGGGCTCGCCGTCGGAGTAGCCGGCGCCAACCTGGAGCTCCCAGAGGGCCACCTCGGTCAACAAGTCTGGAGGAATGGAGCCCATCGCCGCGCAGCTCTCGGCGAGATGCTCCAGGCGGAGCTGCTGCATCCCGTCGAACCCCTGGCCAGCACGGCGCGGCGGGTCGTCGGACCCGGCGTCCAGCTGGTTGAGCGCCACCACGAGCTCGGACACGAGCTCACCCTGCAGCGCCCTCTTGGCACGGCGAGCTCTCGCCGCGCGCCCGCCGCCGCCGCTGGCGGCAGCCCGCGCAAAACACCGGTCGGGGACTGGCAGGGGCAGGAGCGACCGCTGCAAGTGGTCGTCGCCTCCGCCCCCCACCTCTTCTGCATCACCCCCGGGTCGAGGCAGCCCCGGAGGCGGGACCAGCATCATGACTTCGCGGGAGGAGCGTCTCAGCCGCTCTTGCTGGCCTTCTGCTCCTCCCTCAGCTTCCGCGCGTTCTTCTTGATGCTGTGAATCCGCCCCAGATCCTTCCACGCCGAATCTAGCAGCTCGGGGCACACCATCGAGGGAGACCTCGCGCCTCCCATGAATACGCACGCCTCCTCCAGGGGCATCCGCATGTTGTGCTGCTGCTGCTGCTCCGCACTCCTGTCGTCCCAGTAGTGCTCGATGAGCTGGAGCTTCCTGTAGCCGAGCTCCGCGCTCGCCAAGTTGTACACATCCTGGTGGTCTGCGGAGCCCATGGCCTCGATCATCTTGGAGATCGTCTCGTGCATGTCCACCCCGAAGTCGATCGCGTTCAGCTTCGGCTTCGACTTCCACACCTCATGATGGAGGACCGGGCCCACCTCCTTCACTTTGTACTTTGCACACCACTGCGCCGTCCTCGGCGGTGCCACGGCGAAACCTGGGACGGCCCCCTCGCGGCCGAGCAGCACTACCTCGCGCCACTCCCGCGAATTCCCGCCCGGCTGTCCGGCCCCAGGCGGGATCTCGAGCGTGCGCGCGTCGCTCCCGCGGTACTCCTGCATGAACCACGAGATCTCACCGTCCTGCAGCAGCACCGCACTGACTACAGCGCCGCCAGCGAGCGCGAGAAGCCCACGGCACCCCGCGCGGCCCACGAGGGTCGCCCCGCACGGCCACACTCACCCCGAACATCACGGTTCCGTCGATGTCCTCGGCGGCCACCCAGTGCCATCCTGGCGCTGGCTCCCCGCTCGGCTGCGGCGCCACCGGCACGGTGTCAGGCACCGCTGGCGCTCGACCAGCGGGAGCCGCGACCGCCCCGCGGGCGGGGGCGGCGGCCGGGGCCGCGGCAGCCGGCGTGGGAGCGGCCGCGGCCGCCGGCGGGGCTGGCAGGGCGACCACAGGAAGCGCCAAGGCGCCGGGGTCCGCGGCCGCAGGAATGGCCCCGGCCGCATCGCCCGGCGGGGCGCCCGCGATCGCTCGGTCTGCCAAAGGCACGCTGCCCGCCGGCGCCCCTGCACAGTTCACCGCGGACAGCGTGAGCTGGAAGGGCACGGCAGGCATCGGCCCGTACCCCAGCGCAGACCCGCGGCGGAGGGCGCTCCAGATCTCGGCCGCGGTGGCCAGGCGGCGAAACCTGTAGACACGGTTCTCGGGGATACCTCCAACCCTGCCGCCCTGGCCGTGCACGAAGTGAATCTCCATCACGTCCGCATCTGGGGTCGTCGTCTCGCCGTAATCGTCGAAGTCCAGGGTCACTACACACCCTGAACGGAAGATGTCCAATCGCTCATGATACAAAGCGGGGCCTCCGACTCGATATCTGGTCAAGTGAAACCCTCCTGCCAACGGCCTGGCGGCCATACTCAGCAGGCGGCGGCTCCCGGCAACCTGCGGAACGCCTTTGCCTGCTCCAGCGCGAGGATCGCGAGCTCGTCGCCCGCCTGTGCGCAGGCCGCCTCCCCGGCCGCCGCGGGCGCCCCAAGCTCCCCCGCGCGAGGCCGTGTGGCCGACGAGGCGGCTGAGGCCCCGAGCACGGCGCCCAGTAGCACCGAGAGGCCAGCCACCCAAGCCAGCTGGGTCGCGGGGCAGCCCGGGGTGGAGGGGGCGGCCACGGTGCCCTCCCCGCTGGGGCACGTGCACTGCAGCGCTGGGCAGTGCAAGGCCGGACCGCACCAGCAGTCCGGGCAGTCGGGCACCGCAGCCCGGACGACGAAGGCGGTGGTCAGCGCCTGCCCGACGTCGTGGAGCAGCCGCGCCAGCCCGGCCTCCGTGCCGGGCAAGGTCTCAGCGCAACAATGAGACCTCAAATGGCAATGGAATGCGGCCTCTCATGCTGTGGCGTCTGGCAATCTACAACGAAGTAGTGGACAAGAGGAAGATGAGGAGGAGGCGGAGGAGGAGGCGGCGGGACTTCTCAGAAGCCCTCGCACCTTCTGAGAAGTCTTGTTGTATTCGAAGAAAGCTTGGACAGCTTCTCGGAAGTCAAGAGGACTTCCAAGCCTTCTGAGAAGGCCTTCTCCTCATTTCCCCCACTCGCTCGCCACCGATCCAGACAGTATCATCCCCTGCCCAACTGCTTCTGACGCCAAAAACATGCGGCGCCCAGCATCTCGCGCCAGCTCAACTTACCGTGCAGCAGCCCTTCGCCGCTGGCGTGTCAGCTGGGCCTTCGCAGGGGATGCCATACCTCCTGCACAGGTCCACCCGGCCAGACAAAGAACGCAGGACGGACTCCTGCTCTGGGGTCGTGAGGGCTCCTGGACGGGCAATGCGCGCCCAGCCAAGAAGACCGCGGCCTGAGACGTTATACTTGTGAATGACGAAGAGGCATGCCAGAAACACGCTCCTGCCGAAGCCGCCCTTGCAGTGGACGAGGACAGCGCCGCCGTCCTCGGCGGCCATGTGCCTGGTCAGAGTGAAGAAGCGCTTGATGGCGGCGGGGGGGGGGACACCACCTTCTGCGGCAAGTCACAGGAGCCTACCATCTTGTTGGCACTTGCGAATCGACGCTGATCGCCGCTACATCGACGCTGATCGACGCTAATCGACGCGAGTCGACGCTAAATCGACACTAGCTCAGCAGATACCAAACGCTTATCGACGCTAGTGCACTCCAAAGAAAAAACCACGGGGGCATACAAGGCTCCCATAACTTGCTACCGAACACCACCCTTGTTGCTCGGGTGCTTGGAGTCGCTGACGGGAACGTCCGCGTGCTGGATCCCGACGTCGGCTAGCAGCCCCGCGTCGTAGCTGCCTTCGGGGATCTTCTGACCCAGCAGAAACCAATAACTGCAATGCAGAAGAAAAAAAAACTGCAACGCAGGTCTTCGCAAACCCGGGTCAGCCAATATGCGCGGCCGCATCGCGGCCACGAGCGGCTCGCTAACCCGGGTCAGCCAGAGGGGGTCTTCGCAGGATCCTGCAGGATCCAGTGCCCTGGCTCACCCCCGTTTGCATCGACCCCCGTCGCTTGAGCCCCGATGCCTCCAATCTCCGTCAAACCAGGCTCGTCCGACATGTTGACGCGCACCACGATCTTGATGCCCTCCTCCAGCAGGAAGTCCACAAAGGGCCTGGCGCCTGGCCACAGGTCGCAGCCCCTGGCGAGCGCGTCCCCCGAGCCGTAGACCTTGCACACGGTGAGAACCGATGCAGAATCCCGCTGGCCCTTCTGGAACTCGTCGGAGTCCCGCCCATCCGTGGTGCTGGGGGTTGTCCCTGGAACGAAATCAGAGACCTTCTCATGGAAGGCGACGTTCGGGCTGGAGGGTCTGGAGGGCGAAGAGTCGCATACGGACTGCCGCCGGAGATCGTCGAGGGAGCCCGTTTCCCAATTGTCGTCGGAGCCCTGCAGTTTGCCATCTCCAAAAGCGGGGCACGTTTTCGGGTTCGGGTCCTTGATGGTCGTCATTGGATCTGCCATGACGACGACAGCACCCGGCACCAGCCATGCCGCGTCGTACTCGCAGTTGGTCTTCCAGAACTGGCTGGCCGCGAGGGAGGCCATGATGCCATCGTTGACCGTTTCTTTTCGCAGCCACCCGAGGTCCCTGGCCATTTGCACGCCCTCCCAGCAATCCTGGACCGTCATGAGGGGTTTCCCACGAGCAGTCCTCAGGTCCCCTGGTTCGATCCAAGAGCACGGAAAGGTCAGGCCAGCGTCTTTGGGCAGAGTGCCGCACACCTCTCTCGCGGACCAGCCGAGGCCGAGCATGAGGTAGGCGCCAACAACCACGGCAACGTTCTGGCGATCCTCGTTCCTGTACTCGACGACGATGAGCTTGCCCTCATCATTCAGCCGCTCGTTGAGTTCGTGGCTGAACCACAGCGTCTGGTCAATTGCCAGCGGGCCAACGCAGCCACGGAGGGCACTCCTGGGGTAGTGGCAAACCTCATACAAGCCTTGCCTGAACTCGGGCGCTGTGATGTCGTCGAACGCCAGGCGAGCCTGATCGCTGGCGGCACTCCCAGCAGGGCCGTAGCTCAATCGATGTGGGATCAGGGTCACGAGCTCCATCGCAACTAGATTCGGCGCCTGCCGCAGTAGAGCTCCGGAGTCTCTAAAACCGGCTTGTGCAAACATGGCTACGGACCGGTCTTGTCGCGGTCGTTGGGCTATCTTGTTGGGAGCTTCTGGGGCCGTCTTCGGGCCTTACTGGGACCATTTCAGACTGCCTGACAGGTCGCCGTCTGGACTCGTCTTGGGTCCTTTGTAACGTTCTCCTGGAACGATGTTAGGCCAGAAATTTCTTGCTGCGGCGGCGCCATGCGAACCCTGCCTCTGGGGCTTTCGGTGGAGCCCCCTGGGTTCACGAAACATGTAAGAGGTATGCCAAAAGTGGTGCGCCGCCGCCATGCGAACCCTGCCACTGGGGCCTTTGATGGAGCTCCGGCCGACATGGCGGCTGCGCCACAATGGGAACCCTGCTACTGTCGGGGGAGCTCCCTGAGGTGCGACGAAGCGAGTGAGGGGTGCCAAAATGGAGGCGGCAACGCCACGCAAACCCAGCCAGTGGGGCCTTCGGTGGAGCTCTTTGTGGGGGCACGAATCTGGTGAGGCGTGTCTTAAGGGAAAGAAGAGGCAGGAGGAGGAGGAGGAGGAGGAGGAGGAGGAGGAGGAGGAGGGAGGGGGAAAAGGGAGGGGGCGGGAGTGATCGAGTGAGGTGATACGCGGGGCGCTGTCCCTTCAAAACGAAGACCCAGCACCACATAATGGTTGCGCCAACAAATTATCCTGCCGAAGGCCCGACCATATGCAAGCCTTGGGACATGAAGCAGGTAAGACGAAGGAAAGGAAGCCCCGTATGGGACCAGAAGCGAGTGAGAGGTGTGCCAAAATGGTGCGGTACGTCACACCGTAAGAAACAAGCTGGCTCAAAAACTGCAATATGCTCAACTGCTCTGCTGAAAGCCGCACCTTTGCTGAGGCCTGCAGGCCTTCTCGGGAATACATATACATATACATATGTGTATATATATATATGTGTGTGTGTGTACATATACATATATGTATATATATATATATATATATATATATATATATATATTATTTACACACGCATTGCATATACATTTACAGGTGCGCATACACGTACACATACAACTACGAATACCAATACAAATACAAATACAAGTACAACTGCAAATACCTACACAACTATATAGATATAGATGTGCATACACAGATACAGTTACATATATACATCTACCTATATAAATATACATACATACATACGCATACATATACATTAACATGTACATAAACATATATATATATATGTGTATATATGTATATGCATGCATATATATATATGTACATAAGCACATGTGCATCGATTAGAAACACATATTCCTATACCGATATACGTATGCCTAGACATATACATATATAATTCCATAAACATATTCACATACATATACATATACATATACATATACATATATATACGCGTATATATATACGTATATGTGTACATATACGCATGCATATGCTTATACGTATGCACATGCATACATATTTATACACATATACATGTATATATATATATATATATATATAACTATGTACGCATATATATATATATACACATATGTATATGTGTGTGCTTCCCATGGTGAGGCATTGTGCAGCACGCTCGCCGGCCCCTCGGCCGCGTAAGAAGCCGAACGTAAGCACGAGGTAAATGCATCAAGGCACGTAGCACTTAGGAGCACCACCAGGGGGTAAAGAACACCCTGGCCGCCTGCCACCCTTTGCCTCATTAGGCTGGGTTTGGGGCCAGATCCCATGAGGGAAGGCCCAGGGAGCGGCATGGCCTCTGAGGCCGCTCGGACCCTGCCCCACCTGTGCCTGGACCGCTGCACCTCCAGGAGGATAGGGCTGCACCCCAGATACATACCCACACACCCACCCCTCCATACACATAAAAGCCCCAAGCGCCCTCCATCTCAGGAAAGGCCGGGCAAGCGAAAGACGAATCACCGGCAGGGATGCTTGGTGCCTAAAGGAAGGGTTGGGCAGGGGCGGGGAACCTGCCGAAAAGGATCCCGAAGTAGAGCGGGCAGTGCCCGAATAGCGGATTTAAAAATCCTCCGCCAATTGGCTGGGATGGAGACTTCGCAAAACCTCGGCAGTCGCCTGAGTCGAAAGTGAGCCTGGTAACTCAAATAGCATCCGATTCCATGATAGACATCGGATGGCAAATAGCGTCCATCGCTTTGCTGTGATAGTTCAGTATGAGGAATGGGCGGATAAGATAGGATAAGATCGATGTAATGATCTTTCCAGCACATAGCGAACACTCGCGGTGTCCGGGCAAATAGGGCGCGCGTGCCTTGGGCCAAAGGCAACGGCGCGGGCGAGCTATGCTCCCGATACTATAACATCTCCCAAAGACCTACCCTTAAAGTCGGGAGGGGAGGAGACGGAGAGCATAGTCGCACGCAAAGGTCGCGCGCACGACTGTTTGCAAAAAAGAAAACAGTGCGTACAGTCTGGCCTAACACCAGACTGCAAGGCGAGTTTCCTCGCAAAGTATTTCACGCAAATACAAGACAGCCCCTTCAAACAATGAAGGGCTATCGGCTCAGTTAGAGGTAAGCCAAACAGGCCATACCTCACCAAGCAAATGTGTATTAAGGCAAAGAGCCTGAGTTGTACGAAGCCGGCTCGCTGCCAGGCGTGAAATATAAGGCTCGTTTCCGAGCAACCAGAGGGGCGCCTTTATAGTAGGCGCCCGTGCTGGCAAATTGGACCGCGAGGGCAACAAGGACAGACTAAAATTAATTAGACTTAGGTTTGTCTCTGTTCTCGGGACCCCGAAAGGGAACAAATTGCTTCACGTCATACTTAAATGACTGAGTGCCTGACATTACTTCCAGAAGCAGCTCCCGATCGATGCTTCCCTTTGTATGCCCATCTGCGGTCATATCCCTAGTATCACACCATTGCACATTATGTACTATACCTATATCCATGAGCTCACGTATCCAGCTGATATGTCCAAGCAGAGTCCGTTCTGTAGGTATCTTGAGATCCCTGCTTGATTAAGATTTGTAGACGGACTCGGCGTCTATGGTAAGAGAGACTTTGATAGCTAGGCCTCCAACTTCACGCATGTCTCGTAGTTGTCGTGGAGTCAAAGCTCCTGCCTTAAGCTCGTGGAGAGTAATGAGCGTAGGGTAACACTCATCAAGGTTATGTGCGGCTGCAAGTGCCTCCGCAGCATAACTGGACCTCACCTGTAATCGGTGTGATTTGCATAGTCCGTCACAGAGGTGAACGACGGACTTGCCTTGAGGCGAGTTTCCTCGCCGTGGTACATTGGCCCCGCGTATGCCGTAGCCCTTGGTCTCGTCATCCTCCTCCCCGGTAAGCTTCCGATACCCCGAATCGCTATGAATGTCAACTTCATTCGTCGGCTTCATCCGAGGGAACGTGATACGTTTCGGGCTGCTGATCAGCTTTCGCGCCACAGCATTCAAACGTCTGACTTGCAGATTGGTGGGCTCTTGAATTTTCTGAAGAGAGACCACGTATACCATGAGCCAGATTTGGGTGAGAAGGGCATAGGCGAGGGCTCCTCGCAGGCTGACGAACATGTCGGTAATGAGTTTCGTGGCTTTGGCATCGGCCGCCGCTCCTGTAAGTTCAGGGTGTGTGATAGGACGTAGTTGTTTGATATACTCGTCCTGGTCCATGATCACATCTCCTTGATCATTCTTAGTGTAGCGAACGGCGCAGTTCGTATATGTGTGCTTGTTGAGCTTGCATTTGCCAAACACCTTTTCGACACGTTGTACATAGTCGTCTATATTTTTCTCTAGACCTGTCATGTTAATATCATCGACATGTTTTGCCGTCAGAAGGTCTTGGCTGAATTCAAATTCAGGATCGTAGCTGGTCGGTGTAAGTCCTATAGCTCGTGTGGTCGTACGAAGTTTGAGAGAGAACGCTCTTGGAGCGTCCTTTGTACCCGTTCCTGGTTTGAGGCATCTAAGACAGTGTCGACTTTCGTCGTAGGATGAGAAGCCGGGTAATGTACGAAGTACCTGAGCACTTCCTGGTGGAAGAGTAAAGCAAACCATGCGAGTTTCCTCGCCGGTGGCATGGGCAAGTTCCTCATAGGTCAAACCCTTGAGGAACGCCTTATCGATATCCATGGATGCTAAGATCCACTCTGGATGGCATGCCGCTTCACTTGCCAGGAGTCGTTGGGACTGCCTTCGGGCGGTTCCCGAGAATGTTTCCACATCAAAAGCCTCAGTATCCATAAATCCACGAAGGACCAGTCTGAGACGAATGGTTTAAACGTTGTCGGTACCCATCTTTACGAACTTCCACTTGTATACATACCTGGAGGTCATGATGTTGGAAGCTTTGGATAAATCATACATCTCAAAGCATCGGTTATCAATCCAGATTTTGAGCTCAGTATACAAAGCTTCACTAACCTCCTTTGGATGTGCTGCTATGTCGGCTTTGGTCAGTAGATCATCTTCTTTGGCAACCACAGCACGTTTAACAGCAGAGGATACATACACTCTCATCGTTGCGACCATATCGGTATCGAGCTGTGCAAGTTGAGTCTGATCCAACACTATTTTTGACATTTCTGATGTAAAGCATAATTCAACGTAAGGACCATATTCATCACTGTCAAGAGAGTAGCTCTCGTCGGTTGTGGTTGAACAAAGAGAGACTAGACAGGACTCACGTGATTTCGGCTCGTCTCCGAGCATATCTGATGATATAATATCATCCTCGTCCACAAATGCTGAAACCAAAACACATTGGTCGGGCAACATAGTTGTTGGGACGCAATAAAGATAATCATCGGTAATCGTCGTAGGATGAAGGTCCATACGTAGCTCGTCGCACCACTCTTCCAGCATCATAGCTTCGATATTGTGTTCCTCATTTTCCTCATAGATTGTCGACAGACGGCCTTCACTCGGCGATGAAGCATCTGGTGTGTCTGGAGAAGGCCTGTTTCCAGGCGACTCGTGTTCTCCAGA